CAGTGGCAAGATCACTGCAGGTTAAATAAGGATAAGGACTGAGAATAAAGCCATTGCACTATTGCTAGCTGAAGAGTCACCAAGGATATAGCCAATATGCATTCTCAGCTAATATAATTCTTGATACACGAATTAAGTGGGTGTCGTGCCTATTACACAGTCACCTTGATTCCAAAGGAGGAGCGTTTGTTGAGGATATTAAGCTTGCAGTCTTCTGTAGACTGCCTGAGTCGGTAGGCCTAAACTTAAGTGCTATCTTTCCACTGTTGTTTGGTAGCGCTGTGAATTGCAGTAAATTTTGCTCTTGCTTGGGTCACTCATGAAATGTTAGGCTGGTTTATGTGCATACTTCACGGTGGTACACATTAGTAGAATTTTCTGCTGAGTGGCATATTCACCATCTCACCCTTTTTGACATGAATACCAGCTTCAAGTGGGCAACAAACATAGTGAGCTGTATAAGCCCAATGTGGGTGGGCTTAGTCAGATTTCTAGTGGCTGAGATAAAGCTTCTCCTCGCCTCTCTTGAGAAAGCAAAATAAAATGTGCTAAACAATATAATCTTTTGCTTTGTTTGTGTAATTTGTATAGGCTGCACTTCAGAATCTCAATTTATTTGGCAAATTAACCTTGATGCAAAATTACGGGGTTGGAATTTGGTATAGTTGGATGCACAGGTATAGAGCAAGAAAGGCTGCTTCTAGGAGATGCATTGACGTTGCACCTCCACACCAGAATGCCCCCCACCAAAAAAGAATATACATGCAGTGATAATAGTGGGGTTTGCATAGGATGTTTAATTTCCAGGAATATTCTTCTCAACCTGCCAATTTAAATGCAAGAACACCCTTCTTTGTTTGTTTGTTTGTTTTTGTTTGTTTTTATACTGTTTCTGGCCAGGACAAATGGAGACTGTAATGATTGTTCTGTGATTCATTGGCCATCAGCCCTGCATACATCTCCATGCTTCATGAACCTCCTGCTGCTCTCTGCTTACAATAAACAAAACTATAGTCTGATGCATTTAGAAACTTTTATTATAAGAGCAAACATAACATCCTGTGCAATCGTAAGGCATTGGCAGTTGATCATGTGATAAAAGGAACTGGCCAATATATCAGATTAATGTGCACCATTAAAATGTAGAAGAATGAAGGTGTAGCTACTTCGTGTCATGCACACAAATCTAGCCAAGCTATTTATGTCTGGTAAGCATGTAGGAATACAATAATTACATTCTATCAAGCCAGTTCTGACTTGTGGCAACACTTTGAAGGCTTTTATAGGTATAAAGTACTGTACTCACAAATGGTTTACCACTCCCTTCTTCTGGGGTGTGTATATGTGTGCTCTGGGACTGTGCAGCTTGCCCAAGACTACATAGGCTGTCTATTCTGAGGGGCACAGTGGAGAATTGAATTCCCAACCTTGGTCTCTACTCACTGAGCCATCCAGTCTAGACCCTTTTTAATCTGAAAAGCGAATGTGATTTTGTGGCTAGAGTTATAGACTAGGGTTCAGGAGACATCAGTTCAAAACCCTGCTTGGCCATGAAAATTCAGATGAGGAGAGTAGCCTTGGTAAAAACCACTCCTTAAGCACCTCATACGTTGAAAACCCTATCAGAGCATGATGTTAGATGTGACTTGATGGCACTCGTAATAGTAACAATTGAACAGTTGCCCTTCAACCAAGCAGAAAAAATATCAGACAATTATGAATTCATTCATTTAATTGGGTGGTTTGGTTTTAAGGTGGTAATATAACATTTTGTCGGAGGAACGTGGTAGCGCTGCGGGCTAAACCGCAGAACCCTTTGTGTGCTGCAGGGTCAGAAGACTAGCAGTCATAAGATCGAATCCATGCGACGGAGGGAGCTCACGTTGCTTTGTCCCAGCTCCTCACCAACCTAGCAGTTCGAAAGCATGTAAATGCGAGTAGATAAATAGGTACCATCTCGGTCAAACTGTCAAACCTACAGTTCAATGCATTCCAATGGGGGGGAAGAAAAAAATTCACCAAAAATTAACGACGACTCAGAACAAAGCCAAATTAAGTTTGCAAAGGTTTTACAAGGTGCACTAACGATCCCAAGCATTTAAAACAGTTTTTGAACATTTTAAGACGCTTTAAAAATAGCGAAAATGGACATCGCAAAACCATTGGAATGCATTGAATAGGCTTCATTGCATTCCAATGGGGGAAACATTGTTTTGCTTAGCGATGTTTCCTATGGCGATTTTCGCTTAAGGACAGTAATCCGTTCCCATTGGAATGGATTAACTGGTTTTCAATGCACTCCTATGGGAAATGGTGTTGTGCTTAGCGATGTTTTCCCATAGCGATGTTTTTTTGAGACTATGGTAACGTGCTCAAGCGAGGCATCACTGTAGCTGGATACTGTGTACCCTTGGATGGCCTTTACTGCAAATTATCCAACCCATTACACAAGTAGGGACAAACTTTTTTCAGCGGTGGTGATCCATACAGGGGCTGCAAAGAGGGACAAAGTTGTGAGTTTTCTGTGTCTTAGAATGGTGCATAGACGTGGCATCCGTTCATCAAACCCTATTCTTTCCTAGGAAGATGAGAGTAGAAGATGAGGGTTGTGACACATTACAGGAGATAGAAGAAGACAGTGGTGGGCAGGGTGATAGAAAACTGGTGGCAAAGCTATGCTTGCAAATCATTTTCTTGTGCTCTTATATTAAATAGCTTGGATCAGGTTAGCTTTAGTAAAGTAGAATACAGTAGTATCTTATACTAAGAAATAGACAGAATGTGGATATGGATTTGCTGGTAAGTCTCTGGATGGTTAATCACAAGGATTTCTGACTTCCAGTTATTTAGCAATAGGAGCAACAGAATGTTCTTAGGCATCCTTCAGTCTTGAGAGACTATGGTAACGTGCTCTGAATAGAGGTCTTGGAACAGCGTCTAGTGTGGCTGAGAAGGCCAGTTCGAGAGTGACAATCCCTTCCACACTGAAGACAAATACAAGCTGTCCCCTGTCCAGCTCCCTGATTTTGCTGCTTCCGGGACTGAATAAGCCAAATTATAATGCCATAGTGGAGAAAGCTTTGGAGCAGGCGGGAGCAAATTTTTTGTGGAAGGTCTCTGGCCTAGGTCCAGTTCTTGTAGTCAAAACCAAATCCTGGGCACAGGACTTTTTGATTCTATTGGCAGATGTGGAGCGTGAGGGGTCCATGTGCAGAACACTTTGCATTTGGCCCAGCCATCTCTGGCTTAAAAATAGTAGGGCTTCTCACTTGTGCAGAGGATTAGTGAATTCCTTCTTGTGCAACTAGTACTAAAAAGGCAACCATCTGTGCAAGGGGCTGTTGTGTGCGAAGAGAATGAACAGGATAGTGGGGCGTGGCACCTGTCTTTTGCACCTGGCTCTCGGTGGTGGTAAAATGAATCTCCCTGGCAGTTCTGGAGGGGAAAAACTAGACGGATGCAGAATCTTTCTGTCTATGTTGTCTGAGATCTTCCTGCAGGTCAAAGTCATGGTCCCCAAAATTACTGTGTGCCTTTCTGTCTCTTGACACTGAGCATCCTAGTGGCGGTTAACTTCTCGTTTGTTTTGTGTGCTTCAATGAAGAAAATTCTCCTCAGAATTCAGTTTGTAACCATTCTTCTCAACATTACCACATAAATGAAACTTTCTGAACTCTTACCTTTTCTCCCTAAACAAGAAACTTTTCCGTATTGAAAATGCATGTTTGGATAGATGACATTATGAGAAGTTATAAGGAAACTAATCATCTGTATTTCAGTCCTGTTGTCTTCCCATTTTTATTTTTAGATTGTCCTGGAAGTTGTTACAAATGTAAGGTTTTCAAACATAGCACCCATGTTTTCTGACTGACCATAACTATGACACTACATTTGGACTGGAAACTTAAATCCATGTGTTATGACCACATGTGTTCCACATATCTTTGTGTTCTGACAGGTTTCAAACTATTAGGCCTCATGTACGTTGCACATTTTGGACAGTTTTCAGTCCAAGATTTCTGGCTTAGTTTTTAGGAACACTTACCTAAAGAACTGTGGTTTTGGGAACTGTCAGTACCTTTTATTTTTAAAACCCTAATTCCCAAGCTTCTGTGTGGAAGAAAAGAACTATGATAGTAAAATTAGTTTATTTTTGTTAGCCCAGAAGTACCCGTATGGTGGCTGATGCCACTATGTAATCCGTTCTGTGGATAAACAAAAGGCTGTTTCTGTTCTAGGAACAGTAAAACCCTCATCTTTTCCAAGCATTAAATAATCCCGCAGGGGAAAAAAACTGAGGGGGAGGTGACACATATGAGATCCCAAACGGATGCATCTGACCAGTGTGGAAATTTTTCATGATGACTCCTGGTCTGACAGGAAGCCAAGAGAGGAGCCCGGCTGGTCTCTCCCTGATACTATCTTGGATGTATGTTCTCATCCTGTTCCCTTGCTTGTAAAGAACCGCGGCCAACTATGCTGTCACATCTTCTTAAAAAAGAATTGTGTGTGTGTGTAACAGGGTGAAAGAGACAGATTGACATACATCAGTCCTAGAGATGTGCACGGCTTGGGAAAGTTACTTTTTTAAAAACTAAGGATCCTACAATGCCAGTAGCTGTCCTCGCTGGGATGTTCTAGGAGTTGTAGTAAAAAAAAAATCATAACTTTTTCATGGTCTGGTGGTGGACGTATTTGCTTCCTGGGATCCCTCTCTTCCCATGTCATCTCAGTTCCTAAGGATGTGGTTGCCAAGTGTGGGAGAGTCAAAAGGAAATTCTTTTGTACTGCAAATTCCTGTTTGCCTAGTAAATCCAGCGATTGCTCACTATTTCAAATTCACCACCATCAGGAGAAATATGAACAAGATCAGTTTTTTGTGTGTTCAGTCTGACTTCTGGAGGCGTACAATTTTAGTTGTGTGGTGCTGCATAGTAACTGATAAATAGACTAGATTCTAACAGAATCAATCTCTCCCTGCCCCTTTTGCTTTCCCACAGTTCTGATAAGCTGTGACAATGCGTGAATACAATGAAAACAAAGAGACATGTGGGACCATCTGTCTCAAATACCTGCTCTTCATCTTCAACTTCTTTTTCTGGGTAAGGAGCCAATTCATTCCATTTGTGTCCCTTGTTGCGATAAATTCAGGCTCTGTGTATGGCAAAGAGGCAATTGGGATAGGATTGTTGATCTTCCGTGTGTTTTTAAAGTTAATGATTAATCTCCCCCAAATAAGCTGATGTAAAAGGAGCACCATTCAGACAATTGATGCCCAGTTTCTGATTTCACAAAAAGCATACCTCTCCTAGTGCAGTTTCTTGTTTTATTGCGTTACCCAAGTGAAACATACCCTGCAGATAGAAAACTGGAACCCTGCAGAGAATGTTAGATTAGAACTCTTCTTCCTAATGTCCTAGTTTTAGAGGGATAGAGGAATGTTTATTTGGTTTTTGAAGTGACAGACATCCAAGAAGCCGCCTAGAGTGGTCCTCACCGACAATTTATTTGATTTTTGAAGTGACAGACATCCAAGAAGGCTAAATTGATTTTCCCCCTCCCCACATACTATGGGTATATTTGCTAAATTGATTTCCCCCCTCCCCACATACTATGGGTATATTTGGCCTTTATATTATTATTCGTACAGTTCCCATTAAGGGTGACCAGGGAGACTCTTTTCAACATTTCCCCTCCTGTAGCCCTCGGACATGTGCATTCTTTTCTGCCCATGAGCAGTGAAAAGTGAAAAGATGATTGCTTTGGACTTGGGTCCACCCTGAAATTGGCAGAAGCCTCAGTGTCAAGGGATTCCATCGGGGGGCTAGGATGCACCTCAGCTGACAAGGAAATGCAGGGTCCTGCTTGACGAGGGGTTGGGAGACCTCAGGCTCTGCAGCCTGAATCTGTCCTTCTTGGGTTCCCCAGAAGGCCATATCCCTCTCAGCCAGGCTCCATCACTGGGTAGCCTCCCAGTCTCTGTGTGGTTCCCCTCCTCATATTAAAAACTCCCAAGGTCTTTCCTATGGCTTAGCAATTGGCAGCGAGAGCTTCAAGGTAAGATATACTTTGGTTTCGGGTCCCATACTTTGTTTTTTCCCCCCTACCCATTGCTGGAATCTCTCTCTCTCTCTCTCTCTCTCACACACACACACACACACACACACACACACGCACACACACACACACACAGAGAGAGAGAGAGAGAGAAGAGAATGTCTCTGAAATTGTATCTGGCCCTCAAGATGAAAAATGTTCCCCATCCTTCCACTTGTTATCGCTGTGTTATGTGGGAGGGTGGTGGAGGAAGAGGGAACAAGTTGAATTTTATTCATCTTAACTTTCTCTTTAAGCTGGCAGGTGGAGCCGTGATGGCAGTGGGCATCTGGACCCTGGCTGAGAAGAGCGACTACATCAGCCTCCTGCAGTCTAATACATACATGGCAACAGCTTACATCCTGGTGGTGGCCGGTGTTGTTGTCATGATCACTGGCATCCTGGGCTGCTGTGCGACATTCAGAGAGCAGCGGAGCCTGCTGAGGGTGGTGAGTTTCCTCAGAAGTAATAGAAAGCACCTCTTGTGACCTCCTGCTATTGTTCAGTCCTGTATGGGCATTTGTGTCTCTGGTGTCCAAAGCGTCTTAAAATGTCATGTTGAGATGGCAGGATGAGATGGCGGTTCTGCTCCTATTAAATTGTCAGTGGGGAAAAGCAGGCATGTTTTTTCCACACAGTGCTGGGAAAAGCGGGGTCTCAAATAGCTTTCTTTGCTTTGGCCTCAGTACATATACAGCAAACACTACTGAACTGTAAGGTGAAAGGCACGTTGATGGTATTTGCACACTGCCTCTCATGGCTGGTGATGAGACTGGAGCCAAGATAGTTTGTAGAACCTACTGCTGTTTTGGCATGCATAGAATAGCCTGTTGTGCTGAAGAGTCCTCTCTTTTCTGTTTCTCTTCTTCTGAGCCAGGAATTACAGATGAAAAAATTGGTACAATGCTTTTTGTTGTTTTGCTGCACAAAATTAATTATTGTCTCTTTGGGGACAAAAGATTCTTTTGTTCCTGTCTTCCCGCCTCTGAGTGGCTGGTTGTGACAGATCTATTGTCTCCTGTCACTTGGACTCGAGTTCAGACGGCCTTAAGCAAATATGCACAACAAACACTTTGTAGTCAGCCAGACTGAGTTAGGTGAAAAGCCATTGCCAACTGTGAGATCAGCCCTATGTCCCCTTTGCAGGAAGGGTAAAGGGCTTCTGTCTGAGCAAATCACAGTTTCTTTCCCTCATGAGATGTGTTATGACTCCAAATAGGCACGATTGTTTGTGAGCTCCAGTGGTGAATTAAAGTCAGAGAGCTTATATCTCTCTTGCAGTGTTAGTGATTCAAAAGCCAGAAGATGTTCCTTTATAAAAATGAGCTGACCTCTGCATTAGCCAGTCTGTGGTCTGGATGCTGTTAGATTGAAGCTCCCTTTATTTATTTAATCTTGTCTCATTTCTACGCCACATTTCTCCTGGCGGTGGGACTCCCTTACCATCAATTGGGCTGACTGGGTTGCCTGACCTTGTCTCACCAAATGGTTCAAGTTCAAAAAGGATTTCCCTTTCTCCACCTCGGATTATTTTTTACTACTTCCTTCAAACCCCCACTGCTACATCACATGCTGCTCTACCAAGATACAAGATGGTGGTGAATACTTGTGGTCCCTGTTAACTTTTCTTTAGAAGTTACTCCTGGGGGATGATGTTAGTAAAATTGATTAACCTGTCTCCTGATAAAAGAAAAAAAATAGTATTTGGTCTTGTTCTATCTCAGACTCAAAGACTGTGGAGTCTTTGGTCATCTGTCCAAGCAGGCTGATGGTCTAAGACTTCTGCAGAACGTATGGGCTATGGGTGAGAGTGGCATAGATTGCCAGCCAGTCTTGACTATGGGAGCACGAAGAAATATTTCAAGCATTTTTATTTAATTCATTTGGTTTTTGGCCTTCAGTAGAATGTGTCTTTCCAGGGCAGCTAAAAAAAGTCTCGTACGTACATTCTCTCTTTTTCTCAGCCCAGAATTTGAAAGGCAACTATTTTGCAACATAAGAACAAAAGCAGAGTAGAAGATTAGGCATAAAGATGATATATTTTAAGACTGGTGCCTAATTCAATGTAGAAACCAATAAGAACATAAAGAGCCCTTCACCTTATTCTGGGAAGACATAAAGTTGGGCACCAGGCAAGGTTCCTTAAGGACTGCATTCCATTGATGGGACACCAAAGCTATGCAGGCCTCAGTCACTCCCCACTCTTATCGAAGATGGTGGAAAGAGGGCCTCTGTAGGTGGTATAAGTATTCAGGCAGGTTGATGTTTCAGAAAGCAAATTCATTGGGTAAAGACATTGCAAACCATGCAGAGCTTTGGAGGGGAGCACTAGCACTTTGAATTATGTTTGGAACCTGATTGGAAGCTGGTAGTGCTTTTTTAAAGCAGTGGTGAGACCTGTTCCTAGAGCCTGGTCCCATTTGGTTTGACACAGAGTAGGCAATTTTCAAGCACTCTTCAAAGGCAGTTACGTATGCAACATATTGTAGGAATCTTACCTGGAGGTCCTCAGTCAGAGTAAATCTGGCCACTCTGTTGCTTTGCTCAGGAGATACCATGCCTGGGATGCCAGGTTGATGTGCTGGAAGGTGCTCTGTGTTAGGGAGACTACTTCTGGCTCTGCTTGAGAAGCTCAGAGACCACCCAGATTTTTGGGGTGGTGTACATTCCCACCCAACATCAAAAAAACTAAGATCATGGCCACTGGTCCCATGACCTGCTGGGAAATTGAAGGGGAAGATATCGAGGCAGTGACAGATTTTACTTTCTTGGGCTCCATGATCACTGCAGATGGAGACAGCAGCCAC